CTAGTGGGTTTGAACCGCTGACTTTTGTTAGCAGCCAAATGCTTTAACTACTGCGCCACCAGAGCTCTGGGGGAGCTGGTTACAGATGACCAATCTTGGGCCGCACCCCAGACCTACTGAGTCAGAACTGCCCTTCTAACAGGACCCCATGTGGTTTGCATACATGTCAAAGTCTGAGCTTTCTATGGTGTTTGTCAAATGGTGGATGGGTGCAGGCGCTGAAGGAGGAGAACTCGCAAGGCTTGTGTGTCCTCTGCTAAAGTCTCTTCGGAAAAGGCTGCTTGATATTGATCTCAACGAACAATGTAGAGTAGGGTGGTGCTGTGGTTAGAGCAGTGGGCTGCTAATCTTGATTGAAAGGTCGGTGGTTCAAATCCACCAGCCACTCCGTGGGTGATAGATGGGGCAGTCTGCTTCTGTAAAGATTTACAGCCTCGGAAACCCTCTGGGGTAGTTCTCCTCTGTCCGGCTGGGCCACTATGAGTAGGAATCGACTGAATGGCAGTGAGGCCACAGTGGCCCTCAAGGTTTCTGTGGGCAAATGGTCAAACACTCTGCTACCAACCGACAGGGTGGAGGATCAAATGCACTGGAAGCGTGCTGTTGGCAAACGATACTGAATGGACCAAGGCCCAGTCGAAGAACGAACAGCTCTGTCCTGGAGGAAGTACAGCCAGGAAGCTCCCTGGAAGCGAGAATGGCCAGACATCGTCTGACCTGCTTTGGTCACGTGGTCAGGAGGGGGCAGTCCCTGGAGAAGGACGTCATGTTTAGTGAAGCAGAGGGTCAGCTAAAGAGAGGAAGGCTCTCAGTGAGAGGGACTGAGGCGGGGGCTCCACGATAGGCTCAGGCAGAACAACGATTGTGAGGCTGGCGCACGACCGGGCGGGGCTTCATCCTATTGTAGGCGGAGCCTGTGAACAGAAACCAGTTCTATGGTGCCCAACAACAGTCACAGGCACGGGTCGTTGCCCTTTGCCAGAGCGCACGACGGTAATACCCAAGCTGTGATACTTTCAGTCCTATATAGGCCTGTGCAACCTGCACAGTGACTAAGGAAGACCAAAGGATTGATGCCTTGGAATGATGGTTGGTGAAGAGCATTGACGAGACCATGGATGGACAGAGGAAAGAACAGATCTGTCTGGAAGAAGGACAGCCAGAGTTCTCCTTAGAAGTGAAGATGCTGACACTTCACCTCATTACTTTGGACGTATTGTTGGGAGGGGCCAGCCCCCGGGGAAGAGTATCATTCTTGGTAGAGTTCAAGAGAAAGGAAGACCCTCAATGAGATGGACTGACCCCA